AGCCATGGGGCTGCAGCAGGCGCCCCCCTACAAACTGCAATGGCAGCCAACATATTTACTTTGATGAGTTTGTCCCCCCCACACACACACACACCACAAAGCTGACTAGCACTGCTAATAAGTTTGTTAACACCTTCATGCTGGGGGAAGAATGAACAAAGTTTTTTCCAGAGAGTATGTGTAGAAAAGCTGTGAGGGGGAGTGATAACCACAACTCTATACAATATTAATGGTGTGGTTTAGACAGTGTTATTTTAAAATAGTGGCATTAGGGAATCTTCTCATTGATATTCCATTCAAGCTTATTCCAAATACCACATACCTATGCATTTATTGAAAAATACAATAGTGTATATTATCTGCAGATAAAGATTACTGTGTGTCAAAACTATAAACAAGCCTTTTAAACATGCTCTCTTTCCTTTAGTCATCTTTGAGTTTAAAAAGCCACTTAAGAAATATACAAAAAAGTCACAATCATTTACATTGGAAATACACACATATATATTTCTTTTATTAAGAAGACAATAAAATCGAACCCTCTACAAATATATGTGTATAATTTCTCTAGAGCAAAAAAAGAGACAGAAATTTATTTTGGCTGGCAAGATTATGTGTTATGAAAAGGGGGAAAACATTAGACTATTAGATACATTCAATGAACCTTCAAACCCACTCCAGCAGCAGGGATAAATAATTTCATAAACTCTACTTCATATTCTGTCTCCCTAGTGCAATAGACAGATATTAAAAATAAAACTTTAAACTCATGAATAGTGGTGTACAATATCAAAACCATATAGTAAGTAAAATGTGATAACAATATAAAGGCTTAAAAAAATTATGCTTTCTAAGAAATTGATGTAGTTCTCTTGCCATGAGGGCAGTATTAGTGAAATTTGAAAAAATGAAGTAGCTAGTTCTTAAATTACACTTATTGGAATACAGAACCCTTGTTTGCACATATTTCCAGCAAATAACTGTAGATTTCAGCAGAGGCTATAAACATAGGCTAGGTTAAGCAACAAGAAGAAATGACAACATTTAAAGAAAGCTGTTGTATCTTTGATTCCTTCACACAAGGTATGATCAATCCTAACTTGAATTAGGTGATTGCTATCGTAATTAATGTCCGCAAAACCATACTGTAAATGGAACTGGGTTAGTATAAGGGCTTGATAAAATATTCTGTTTTAAACACAGGAATAAATAACATGATAACCATCCTTAGCCATTTAAATGTATTTATTTTTACCTAATATGAGAGTGTGAAAAGCATTTTATTAACATTCATCCCAATCATAGCCTACATAAGAGAGAAACACTTTGTTTAATCTTTATTTAGTTCCATTTTGGTTCAGTGGAATTACAGTCAGCATAAATCTGTGACCATCTAATTGTCTTGGATGATTTAAAATAAATACCTCAGTCACTACACTACACAACCAAACCTGCTTTAAACATCCTTGCTACTAGGATCCACAAACAAAAAACAGAGGTTTAAATGTTTTCTACAAGGTTTGAATTTTTAAAACTAGCATGCTAAATCCTATAATTTAATTTGGAATAAGTATTCCTGACATATTTCCTTTGTTACATAGGTTTCATCAGTTTCATTTCAGCACTCTTGATTTTAACTGATTCTGTTCTAATCATTAAACAATCAGAAAGTTCAGCACTATGTGAAAAATAACCTTGTCCATGTAACTATTAAGAAAGGGAGCCAAATTGGGCTAAATCCCAACTAAATCAATGGCAGGTGCTGCATGTTTACTCAGAAACCCACTGTGTGCATCAAAATCTTAGTATTCCAGTTTATGTGGTCAGGTCTATCAACCACACCAATTGTTTTCTTCTATAAATACTGCACATTGTCAAGATACTGCATCTGTAAGGCACAACTGATAATTCAACTGCTTTTACAGCCCAGTCCTAGCCAACTTTACTCATGGATGTTAACTTGCTTAATTCTGTGCCTTCCAGTTCCAGCAACAAGGTTACAGGTAACTGCAAGGGCTGCTTTGCTGTATTGGCCACCTTCTCCTGCCTACAGAAAAAAACAGCAGTCAGGAGCGCAAGAAGGGCCAGACTTCCTTTGTCTGAAGAGTTGGCGTTTCAGTTGGCAGGGAGATTTGGGGCAGGAGCATCTTTCCGAAGAGCAGCTCGGCTTGCGACAAATTCACGTTCCATTTGAAGGTCTAGCCACGGATTCAGTCAAGGAGGCTTTTAGCTAGTGATGCTAAAAACGAAACAGATCCTCCTCCTCCACGGGGGCCAGTGTCATGGACGGGCTTCAGCTAGCAGCCCGAGCCCGAGCCCCGAGTGGGGACAGGAGCAGGAGCGCGCAAGGCCGTCCCTTCCCATTAGCGCTGTGGAGGAGGCAGGGTCAAGCCGTCGTGTCCCCGACCCCCGCCGCGACCTGAAGGGAGCTGACTGGGCCGGAGGGCGGGAGGGAAAGGGGCTCACGCGCCTCATTAAGGAGGCGGCTGCATCCAGGGGGGGGGGGGCACGAGGGCCCCTCCACCTGTGGGCGCCCCGCCGTTCTCTGGGCTGGTCTCTCCCGACTGCAACCCAAAGGTCGTCGGAAGGGCTTCCTTTCCTCCTCTAAGCACGAGCAAGGCCGCACCGGAGAGGGGCAGAGCCAGACAAGCCAGGGCAGCGGGGGGGGGGGGGGGTGTCTTGACTAGCCCAGGGAGCTGAATCAAGCTCGTCGTCTCCCCCGCCCCGGCGCTCCGTAACCCCCTCCCAGCCAGCCAGGGTCGCGCGTGTTTCCGTGCCTAGGCTCCAAAGCCTCCAGCGCGAGCGCGCCCTGCTGCCAGCCACAGTTGCCGCCCGGGACTTTTGGCGCACCAATCCACGCTCCTCGAGCAAGCAGGCCGATGAAGACCGAGACGCTTTGGAGAGCCCAACCAGACACAACAACGGCTGCCGATTTTGAACAGCCCCAACCTAAACAGTTCCCAGCTTGCGATACTAAAGATGCTACTTTTCATCAGGAAAGCGTCACTGCTAAGCAACAGCTAGACTTTTAGGGCAAAGTGATTATATCCATATAAATAGGTTTCCTTAAAGACACAATCTTGATTTTGGTACCCCGGATCTTCAGTTCAACAAATTATGCAGACACAAGTGACGTGTTTGGGATTTTCTGAAATGCATACAAGGAAAAATGTGGGGGGGGGGGGGGGGAGGAATGTTGAACCAATGGGCGTCGTTCGGAGTCCATTACATGCGCCTGAATCCCACTGAAATCAGCGGCATTTAAGTATAATGTTTAAGGGCTTAACTCTTCTCCCGGTCTTAAACGCGAAATTTGGAAGAAAGCCCCGTGGATTTCAGAAGAACGTCATTCGGAGCAAAATCTTGTCGTTCATTAATTTTAAAACTAAGATGTATATATGCTTTGTGAAGCCACCCGCGAAAAAAAAGAGAAAAAGCTCTTCTGGTTGTTTCTACATATTCGAACTGTTCTTTCGGCTCAAAGATGGAGGAGGAGGAGGAATGATTCCTTATTGCAACGTTCCGTCCAACTAAGAGCTCCCCTGACAAGATGATCTTGGTCCATTCCGGCTGCCCCGTCCTGAAAAGTCCGTATTGGCAGAGGACCTGCCGGCCAGCATGACAAGCACTTACCTCTAGCCAACCTATTCCCGGCCACCTCTCCCCACAGCCCTGTTCACAACTGTTTAAACCGGTCCTGACTGCAGATTACAATTCACGAGAAAATAAACAGCCCTTCAGCCCATTAATAAACATTTATTTTGCAAAATCAACAAATAAGTGCGTAGAATGTCTCTGTATGGTATGCACACGTGTTACATAAATAAGGTAAAGATGCAACTAAGTTAATAGCAAGAACAATTGACGCTGACCACCAGCTGCATAGCTTTCCAACCTCAATCCGAAAAACTGTCAACTCCGGTCACCGACTGAATACCTCATTCATCTGCTACTAATCTAGGAAGCCAGGTAGAAATAAGACAATATTTGCATCCAATCGATTAACACCGGCCAGATCGCCCTTCAAACTGTTTAATGGGGATGGAGGGAGGGGGGGGGGAGAAGAGAAAAATATTTTATGGCTCCGCACCAGTGACTCCCTAATACTAGACTAAGGTGGCTGACTAGAGGAAAACTTTTGCCTTGCTGTTTCCACCCGTCTATCTCGTAGCTCCAGTGGAAGCCAAGTCTTAAAGTGGGAGGTCTCCCCCTTTCTTCCCCCGAGCGTGTCTCCGGCTCCCTAGTCGAAGGATGTCTCTTAATGACACCTGCAAGTTCCCGCTTCTGCGATAAACCGGCTGCGAGCGCCTGAAGAGGTGAGTTTCCCGAAGTCCTTTCTCAACGGTAGCGCGTTTAGCGGGAGAAACTTAAGCCGAAAGATCCTGCCGGATTCCCAAACGGGTAGGCGGCCTGGCTGGTGCGTTTCTGCCATCAGACCCCAACCTTTAGTTTGCCTGTTTCTCTCTAGCTCCAAGAGAGGGATTAATTAAACGGGCTACAGCTGAAGGAGGCTGCCGTGACGAGCCCAGTGGCGATTGGCCGCCCGCCTGCCTGGCCCTGCCTTTATAATTTCCACACGAGTGCATCTGGGCTCTTATACAAACCCACAGCCAGCTTTTTCTGACATACACACACAGCGCGCGCACACACACACGTACACACACCGAGCGAGCGACACAGAGAGAGACCCAGCACTTTCCCCACCATCTGACTAAGAACCCTGCGCAGGCAGTGGCTACTGCAGGAAAAGCATAAATAAATACATACTCAGAGCCGGTGTTATTATTTTGACTGTTGGGAGCCTTGCTGTGTCTGGGTTCAAACTTTGATATATATATTTTTAAAGCTACAGCTCTCAATGCTTTTTACTGCTCACTCAAGGACTCTTTAAAAGAAGCAGGGTTTTGTTTTTTGTTTTTTTAAAAAAGACCCACAGATCTAGCAGCCAGCCAGCCAGCCAGCCAGCCGAGAAGGCATTTGAGAGAGAGCGGAGCAGCAGCAGCAGCAGCAGCAGCAAGCGGCCGCCCAGAGCCTTTCGCAAGCCTCTGGTTACGTTTCCCAGCGCCAGGCAGCCTGTTTCTCCTCTGAAGTTGGCTCCCGCCTTAGCAGCCGCATTGGATCCCACAGCCTACTGCGAGACTCCGGTCTACAATCCGGATCTCTGCCCCAACATGATCGCGGCCCAGGCGAAGCTGGTGTACCATCTGAACAAGTACTACAACGAGAAGTGCCAAGCCAGGAAAGCGGCCATCGCGAAAACTATCCGCGAAGTCTGCAAAGTGGTCTCGGACGTGCTGAAGGAAGTGGAAGTGCAGGAGCCGCGCTTCATCAGCTCGCTGAACGAGATGGACAACCGCTACGAAGGCCTGGAGGTCATCTCGCCGACCGAGTTCGAGGTGGTCCTTTATCTGAACCAGATGGGCGTCTTCAACTTCGTCGACGATGGCTCTCTGCCGGGCTGCGCCGTGCTGAAGCTGAGCGACGGGCGCAAGCGGAGCATGTCCCTCTGGGTGGAGTTCATCACGGCCTCGGGCTATCTGTCGGCCCGCAAGATCCGCTCGCGCTTCCAGACGCTGGTGGCCCAAGCCGTGGACAAATGCAGCTACAGAGACGTGGTGAAAATGGTGGCGGACACCAGCGAGGTGAAGCTGCGCATCCGGGATAGATACGTGGTGCAGATCACGCCGGCCTTCAAATGCACCGGGATCTGGCCCCGAAGCGCTGCCCACTGGCCCCTGCCCCACATCCCCTGGCCGGGTCCCAACCGCGTGGCCGAGGTCAAAGCCGAGGGCTTCAATCTCCTGTCCAAGGAGTGCCACTCGCTGGCCGGCAAGCAGAGCTCGGCCGAGAGCGACGCCTGGGTCTTGCAGTTCGCCGAAGCCGAAAACAGACTGCAGATGGGCGGCTGCCGGAAGAAATGCCTCTCGATCCTCAAAACGTTGCGGGATCGCCACCTGGAGCTGCCCGGACAACCCCTCAACAATTACCACATGAAGACTCTGGTTTCCTACGAGTGCGAGAAACATCCCCGGGAATCGGACTGGGACGAGTCTTGCCTGGGCGACCGCCTGAACGGGATTTTACTGCAGCTCATCTCCTGCCTCCAGTGCAGGCGATGCCCGCATTACTTCTTGCCCAATTTAGACCTCTTCCAGGGGAAACCTCACTCCGCCCTAGAAAACGCAGCCAAACAGACGTGGCGGCTGGCTAGGGAAATACTCACCAACCCAAAAAGTTTGGAGAAACTCTAGAGGGCAATGAACTGGCGGCCTTAAACTATTTAAAATCGCCTTTTGTGTGCGCGCGCGCGTGTGCCTGTTTTGGAGGATTCTGTTAAAGAGCGATAGGGAGAGAGCAAAGGGTCTCCATTCGAGAGTACAAACATCGCGCTACCTTAGAAGAAGAGGCCGTCCACACTCACACACACACGCAAAGCCAACAGCAAGTATTATGATCCTTGTTTGCATCACAAATTTTAAAAAAAAAACATTTGAAAAAGTGTATGATTATTACCTGGGAAAATGCAATATCGGCTGTAATTAAGCCTGATTGTGACCACTCTGCTTACCAATGGATTATAAAAAGGCTGGTATTTTTTATGTAAACCTCTATGTGAGTAAAAGCGTTTGGATACGCCATCAGAGCAACAGCTACAAAAACCGTTTCTTCCCATGTACGTTTTTAATTTGTATGGAATAATGTGATTTCACATTGTCTTTTGAAATTGTGGATGTTAGTGTTTTGTGATCTGGTGAACAGAAGTTAAATTGCCATTTTTGGATACTTCAGGACATTTTTTTCTGCTTAAGAAGATACCATTTAAAAGGTAGATTTTATCATGGTACTTTTGTTAATTGTCTTTTGAAGTGTCTGAATTTAAAAGTTTACATTTTTTTGTTTCAAATATATTGCTTGTCCTATTTCTAACATTCCATAATTATACTTGAAATGTTATTTAAATATATTCAGAAGAAATTTGGATTTTCCTTATATAATTGTGAATATTGGAATTATATATTTGAAAAAAATGCACTTGAAATACACTGGATAATTACTTTTTGTGACTTAGATTTAAATTCTGTTAATTTTATTTAATTACAAGTTAATAAATAAAGTAAAATAAATATGGTTAAGCGTTTCAGTACTCCATTCGGTTTGGTTTGATAATGCATCCTGCAAACCGGACAGGGCTGTTGGATTATGGATATATCTTTATATCTGCAGCCCTTTGCTGCCTCCTGTTAGTTTTCTATTCTTAAAATAATCTTAAAAACAACTCCTTGTAACATATGCGAAATATGGGGTCCTGGAAGCCATCACCAACTGTCACAGTCCAGTGTGTGGTAATTTACCTAGTAACATTTTTACAACCATCAGAAAATAAATCTTTTCAAAGATGTACTGGACCAGGTTCAGGCGCCTCTCCAGTTTAGAAACCAAGCTGGAGCCCCCTCTGTCAAAAAAGTCCAGCTCCTTAATGAAGTTAACACTTCAGGAGTAGGAAAGAAAAACTGCAAACTTTATAGGTTCAGAGGATCAAGTTAACTGCCCTAAGGTGAAGGGCGCCTTTACCTCCGCCCCAAACGTCACTGGCCTTGCGATAAGGCAGCTACTACCCATGGTGTTTGGAAACGGGAGGGCAAGCGCCTGGCCCTGGGGATGCTCAGCCAGAACCAGCGGGCCTCTTCCACTACTCATGCTCCACTTCTGCCCCATTCACAGCAGCACAGGGTTCCTTCGGGATGCAGACCCCTCGCAGCCAAAAGGCACATGTGCTGGCAAACGCAGAGAGGAACCAGCCAAGGCCGGGAGTAGGAATGAGATTTGGCAGGTAATGTGAAACTTCAGCGGCCTTCAAAAACTCTGCCCATACAAGGCTTGCTTAAGCAAAATCCTCACTTATTGCCATGTTGCCAACTCATTGTTGTCTAAAAATCCAGGATGACACACAACACATTTCGATCATCCATTCAAGAATGACAGGCCGGCAACGAGCAGATCGCCTCCACAGAAACGACCCCCAATTACTGACAATCCTCACCGGTTAAGGCTGCATTAAAATCACATGAACGTAATTGTGAGATATAACCAGTTTCCCCCTCACATTTCTGAGGACTGCGAACTCCACGATAGGATCACAATCGGTGTGCTTTATTTGCCAAAGGTGCCCGTTCCAAAGGAGAGGGTGCGATTCCTATTGCTATTAAAGCCCTCTCTGCGCCCCGCCTCTTCCTCCACGGCCTGCTGGGGAGCTCTGCCGGTTTCGCCACCCCCGAGAAGGCTGGCTGCGGCTCCCATAGGGCGTCCGGGTGCAAGATTCACCCCTCAGAATCTGAGGCCCTTGATCAGGGAGCGCTTCTGTTCCGCGGCACTCGGCAGGGAAGCCCGGGCAGCGTCTGCCGGAGGAGACTGAAGCGTGGGCCTCCCGCTACCTCCAGGGATTTCTAAGCAATTGGCTTAACTGCTAAAGCTGCCCACGTTCATACAAAGGCCTTGGGGGTTGGGGGGAATTGTCAGAGAGCAAGCGCTGGAGTCAGAGCGGATTTTACATCATTAACGCGTTGGGGTTTTTTTTTAATAAAACAGAAACTGCTCAGAGGAACGGGGGGGGGGGGGGGAGGACAGGGGAGGGACGGGGGGCTGGTTTTTTTGCATCCTCCCCTCCCCTGCCGTAGCAACCCCCGCCCACCCCTCCTCCGGGCCCAGGACTCACTTTCGGGTCGATCTTCTTGAAAGCCGGATCATCCTCGTCCACCTCGAAGTAGATCTCGGTGGTGGTGATGGAAAGGGTCCCCTTGGCCACCACGACCGGGGCGATGAGCTGAGCCGGCGTGCTAAGGACCACGGGGCCTGCAAGACAAGAACGGCGGAGTCAGGATCCGGCAACCTTGGGCAGTGGCCGGAGGGCGGCCGGGAGGGCTTGGCTTTCTCCCCGCCCTCGGCGACCCCTGAACCAAACCCTCCGCCCGGACTTCTGGAAGGCACAGCCAAGAGCCCGGAACCCGAACGGGTGGTGTGTCCAGGCATAGCCAGCCCCAAGGGCGCGGAAGTTCTGCACGGATCGACTTTAATTCAAAGCTGCAAAGCGGTTCACAACACATCTCAGACAAAACCAGCCCACCACTTGCCGTTGAAAATGTTCCTCTCCAGCTACCTGGGCAGCCCGAGTCCAAGCCAGGGAGGTTTACCTTGTTCCCAGTAGTTTGACCGGGGCTCAGTTCGACCCAGTATCACTGGATCTAAGTGTACGGCAAGTCCTAAGTATGGGCACCTTGGAAATGACCAGGACTGAGCAATATATTGGCTAGCCACAAGGTATAGATAGGGGCTCTGGGGCAAGTGATGCTCTGTCTTCTTGGTGCTTGGGGGGGGGGTCAACAGTGGGAAGGCTTCTAATGTCCTGGCCCCACTGGTGGACCTCCTGATGGCACCTCCTGATGGCCACTGTGTGACACAGAGTGTTGGACTGGATGGGCCTTTGGCCTGATCCAACATTGGCGTCTCTTATGTTCTGTATCGAATGGTCAAATAACATACTGCAAATACCACGTCGGGAATCGGGATGTCCCGTTATGCAGGCCGTTGGGATTTTCACAGCGCAAGCCTACGCACAGATCCCTCCCAGCCCCAGAGCAGGACTGCACGGCTGATGCCGCCGATCCCCCACAACCTCAAGCCTTCTAGGGAGCCCTCGATGCCCCGGGAGCGCTGGGCAGTCTGCTCACGTTCCTTGTAAATCCTTCCTGCGCCTCACCAACTGTTTTGGTTCCCAAGAAAGCATTTTGCTTCCTTGCAAAGTCAGTCTCTTTCCCCCTCCGCCACCCGGTCTCTAATACCAGGTCTCCGAGAGCATGATTATTGCAGGGGAAACAAAAAATTAAAGAGCGAGCCTCGGTGTGTTTACTCAGGGCCAGTCCGACTCAGTACAGCCGGGTCCATTCACGAGTGAATTTGCATAGAATCACAGCACAAGCACACCCACTTGCAAGTAAACCTTGGAAATCAATATGATTTATTACTAATAAAGGGACGGCGCCAAGTAGCGTGATGTTTAGGATCGGGCTGAACACATTCAAATGAACGAAAACTAACGGGATTTCTAGAGCCAGGCATCGTGGCTCTGAATCCTTGAAAGAAAGGCCATATACGCTGATCATGGTCCGTTTTAGAAACCGGAAAGAAAGGCACTTCAGTCGCCCCGTTTATAAAGCCCACTGGGCCCGTTTGTTCCTTGGTATAGGGAGGGGGAGGATCTGATTTCGGGTCCGCCGACAGTTCTCTGGGTCTCTCGTGCAAGAGCGCGCCCGGCTGTGCAGCCTGTCGATTACTAAACTTCACTCACTTAACTCGCCTCAGCCTGTCTGCTTGCCTGACGGGCGGTTCAGGCTGTGTTCCGGCGGGGGCTTCCCTCTCAGGCGAGCAGCAGCAGCCACGGCAGGCACCGCCGCTCGCCTCTTTGCGCGGCCCAAAGCAACGCGCGGCTTGCCAGGCCGCCTTTGACAGCTTTCAAGCAAGCCCACCAGGGGCTGGATAATATTGATACAAACTCTATTTTCTTTCATTTTCTTGTTGTTCCCTTGCCTAATAGGCCCGCCTGGCCTCTTGACCCCAGTCAGCTGATCGGCATCACATGCGCCGGGCTGGCCCGG